ATATATATATACAGGATTGGACACTGCCTATTGGCACTATTGTGTACTTCTAGAGTGCAACCATTACTACGTGTTAACTGTGGAAATTACACAACAAAACTTGCGCATGTAACTCTGCGTGTGTCTGTGATGCAGAATATGCACCACATTTTTGTCTGTTTTTTTCTTTTTAAGTTTGGCACTTCATAAAACAGGTGGATGTGAAGAGCAACTGCAGAAAGAGCTCTGAACTTGATCTGGCGTTATTTAAATTAAAATGACCACATGCTGTGAAATTCTTGGGAGATGTTTCATTGGCAGGGGCCCTCCACCTTGTATAATGGTAGAGAAAACACATCATTTTGTGCCTTCACAACCTATTAGAGCACGTTTTTCAATATCATGTGAATGTGCAATGTTCAGTTACACAATAGTGATATTTAATTATCTATGAATGTTTTTACTGGCCAACACTAATAAACTATATCCTTTTTAAAGTAGAAATATCTCAGGATGGCCTGACACATATTTTTTTTTTACATATATTTCATATTTGGCACAGTGATTATGACTCACTGTCTTCCAGTTAGTCTGCTGTCACCATGGTCTAAATCAGTCATCAGGTATAATATTTTACATATTGATACTTTTGAAAATATTGATCTATATAATCACCATATGCTTGATGTGAATCAGTATTATATGCCCTCTAACACAGTCATTGTGTTAGATTGGTATATGATATCGCATTAAATATATTGCAGACTTGTTAATTGAATTCAGTCAAAATCATATGGTGACAGACTTTGTGTTATTGAGAAATATCAAATTGTCATCCAAAGAGATCGATGTAATATATCGTGATAAAGCTGGTGATTTACATCCCTATTAATTAGGCGTAATATTCTGAACTCAATAATTCTGTGTTACATGACATTGGACATTTATTTTAGTTTTTGTATTTTTGACACCAAACACCCTCCCGTTGGGAGGTCCCTCATATTTAACAAGCCTGGTACACATGTTTACTATTATCACATTTTTAGTATTATGTCTTAATATTCTTTAAGAAGTATTTTACATTAATTGAATCGATAAAAAAATACTGTTTGACATATGCTGTCTGTTTAATTCACAGAAGTGTGAAGGTGTTATCTAGCAGTGCATTATATTAAAGGTATGTTTTATACATGACACTGTTGGAATAAAATATTTTAATAACAAAAATATATTGTGAGGTTAAGAAACATTTTATTTATTATACAATAAGTAAATATTGCATTATATTGACAGCTGTTATTAGACCCAAACACCAGCTAGTTCTGTATTATTCTGCATTTAGAGCCTTCTTTTTTTAACTCTGACAACTGTTTACTGATTGTGTTCATTAAATTTGGTGCATTATATACGAGTCTGCCTGCAGCTAACATTATGTGCTGATGAACAGGTGATCTGTCTTATTGCTTCATTGTAGCAAGTACAGAATAAATGTACATGTGTAATGTTATTCCTTGTTGTATGTGGATTTAAATATGTGTTTCAGTTTATAGCTATTTGTTTTACCTTACGTACTTCTTTTAAGAACCTCCTATTGTTTCAAACAGTCCCACTTCAGCACATCTTCACAACAAGGCTTCGGGGAAGGGGGGCTCTGTGGGGTGGGAGCTCGACTGCAGACTGTGCTCCAGGGAGGAGTTTTGTACAAATAGATGGTGCTTTGTGCACTCTGAGTGAGGGAATGACATTATAACATGATGTAAAGATGAAAAAAGTCAATTTTGCACATCCCCACACACACACGAAGAAAAAAAACAAGATGAGGGGATGTTTCACTTTTTAAGATGTGTTGCTGCCATAATATAAAAAACTGCCAAAATTAAAAAAGCTAGAATTTATAGTTTAAATATTTACATTTTTACTACCTTCCACAGTGAATAACATATGGG